TTGCCTCTTATAAAGACACCCATCATTGGATGTGGGGCCCACTCTCAATCCAGGATTATTTCATCTCGGGACCCTTAAGTAATTAGATCTGCAAAAACCCTTTTTCCAAGTAAGGTCACATTCATGTCTACCAGGGGTTAGGGCTTGAACATAGCTTTCTGAGAGACTCAATTCCGCCTAGTACAGATGGGTTTGAACAGGCAGGCACAAGATGGCGGGGCTGGAGTGGAGGAAGGGAAGACCCAAGGTGCATTGACACCTGGTTGCAGGGGCCCTTGCCTGTGGCAAGGGGGTTCCCCTGAGATGGCTGGGTTCCCCAGGGCAGCAGTCTGAGGTGCTCCGTGTGCATTACTCTCCCTTTACCAGCCTGTGGTTGGCGATTCTTTCCCGATGCCTACTTCTGTTTTATTGTCACAGTGCTGGTATTTTTAGTTACAGTATAGATGGAGTTTCTAATTGTTAACTCACCACCCCAGGAGCAGTGGGGCCTGAATCCATTGTTAACTAATTAAGCTCTTTGAGAGAAGTTGGCATAAGGGGGAGCAGAGGCCCAGCACATGCATTGTTTGTGGTTGTCTTATTAGGTCAAAAGCAGGGCAGTTTCCAGCAAAAAGGGCCCAGTGGCCCCAGTTGTTCTCTTTTAGAAGCCTGCCCTGGGCTTTCCTACAAGGCTTGCAGGGTGTAACCTTAGGGGGCTGGGCTGGTACAGGCATCCAGGCTTCCTAGTCTTGGCTTCCAAGAGCCCCAGGGAGTGTATAAATTCTGGCAGAGCCTAGGGAAGCCAGTGACATGATTCCTTTCAGCACAATTTATTTCCCAGAGAGAAAATCTCCAATTAGAATAATCTCCTCTTCCTGCAGCCTGTCACATACAAATGAAAAGACTTCCCTGAGGGACAGAGCCCAGAGCGCCCCCTGGTGGCCATCGCGGGCCACACATGGAGGGGAACTCTGCTTCCGGCAGGGTGTGGGAGATCCTGGCACTAAGGGCACTTGGGGAGGTCTCTTTATTAATTTGTGTGTGTGTGTGTGTGTGTGTGAGAGAGAGAGAGAGAGAGAGAGAGAGAGGAAGACTGGCCCTGAGCTGATACCTGTTGCCAATCGTCCTCATTTTGCTTGAGGAAGAGTGGCCCTGAGCTAACAGCTGTGCCAGTCTTCCTCTATTTTGTATGTGGGATGCCGCCACAGCATGGCTTGATGAGCCGTGTGTAGGTCCATGCCTGGGATGTGAACTGGTGAACCCAGCTGTCAAAGCAGAGTGTACGAACTTAACCACTATGCCACCAGGCCAGCCCCCTTAATTTTTAATTATTATTTATCATTATCAATGTGTTGATCATTAATAATACCTACACCTTCAGTATAACTTTTTGTAGCCAGATAGGCCTCTAAGGAGACCTCACTTCAGTGTTTGGGAATTACTTGCTCCAGCTCTGCTGTTGAAATGACAAGATATCTTGAGACAATTTGGAAGGAAACTCAAGGAAAGCAAAAGCGAGTGGGCATTATTTTCAGTCATATGCAGAGCAGCATTTGTAATCTGGTGGCCCATGGCCCAAACCAGCCCACAGGTATGTTTGGCTCACTGTGGTTTTTTAAAAAGATTTTTCGATCAGTTGCTAATATTTAAAAGTGGAGAGATTTCAAGTAAAACTCTGGGTCTTTGATTTCTTCTGAAAAACCAGAGATCTGGAAGGTCTTTCATTCCCATAGGAGGTTAGTAGATTGGAATTGAGTAGCATTTGCCCTCTTTAAATGAAGCATGTGATCTCTAGTTTGCCATAGGCCACACCACTCTCTATTGCCATAGTCTATGTACATCTTTCACTTTATCAGCTTGGTTCCTGGAGGCATTTGAGCTTGTCACCCCCGGCCTAGAGTTTGAGATTGGGATAAGGGGACAGAAAATCCTGTGGAAGTGATGGGTCCCCTGCCCCAACCATATGGGGAATATATATATATATAAAGTCACATGTCATTTAACAACGGGGATACCTTCTGAGAAATGCATCATTAGGCAGTTGTGTCATTGTGCAAACATCATAGTGTGTGCTTACACAAACCTAGACAGTACAGCCTACCCCACACCTAGGCTCTACGGCACTGAGCTTATGGAGCTACCATCATTGACTGAATGGAGCGCCATGATTGACTGAAATGTCGTTATGTGGTATGTGACTATACATATATGTGTATATATATATGTATATAATTGAAAGGCTTTGGCTGACCATGGAGCATCTTCCTGGAAAATCTTTTTAAAAAATTATTTGGGGAGGGCGGGAAACATTATTTTTAGAAAAAAACAACCCTGATGTATTGTAGAGGGTGTGAAATTCATATGGATTATTAAGAGAAACCATGAAATAATGAAATTTCATGCTTGTGCAGGCCCACTTTGGGTGCACGTGCCTCTTCTGTGATTGGGGGAAAGTTTGAGAAATGCTTTCTAAGGAGTTAGTGGCAGAAGTAGCTCTCTTATTTGCAAGGAATAGACAAGGATGGCTCGCTTCTGTATTTGTTAATAGAACCGTGAATGTGGAGCCCAGATTGGCTCCTAGGTGTCCCGTTTTTGAATAATGGGGTGTAGATCTGCTCCAGAGGTTACTGGAATATTTCCTGAGGCTTTATCACCCAGTGTTGTGACCCAGGCTTTTAGTCAGGTGGACCAGGTCAATGTCAGATTCCAACATCTCCTAGCTGTGTGATCTTGGGCAAGTCAATTAACCTCTCTGAACTTTGGTTTCTGCTTTTGTGAAATGGGGAGAATCGGCCCTACCCCACAAATAGGATTATTTTAATGTCCAGAGCAAGCACTTAACAACTGCTCCTAAGAATGGTAGTAAAATCACATCTAGCTTCACAGTGTCACCTCAAGGTGGGTATCACTGTTCTACTCTTGGGAGGAGCAGTAGGCAGCTATGGCTTACTCAAGGTCACACAGTCTGTAAGTTGCAGAACTTGAACCCAGATCTGCTGACTCTAGACCTAGCATAACAGTGACAGGTAAGTAGTGCAATATTAGGCCCCCAACTTGTACTTTCTAGAACCTCTGAATTCATTCCTTAAGGGGGGACTGCTTAGCTGCACTCCCTCCTCCCCCTTTTTAAAAATTGTGATAAAATATACCTAACATAAAATTTACCATTTTCTAGAGTTCACTGGCATCAAGCACGTTCACATTGTTGTGCATCCATCACCACCATCCATCTCCAGGACTTTTTTTATCTTCGCAAACTGAAACTCAGTCCCCATTAAACAGTAACGTCCCATTTGCCCAGCCCAGCTCCTGGAAACCACCATTCTACTTTGTGCTTGTATGAGTTTGACTCCTCTGGTTTCCTCACATGGGTGGAATCATACGGTATTAGTCCTTTTGTGACTGGCGTATTTCACTTAGCGTAATATCCTCCAGGTTCATCCATGTTGTAGCATGTGACAGGATTTCCTTCCTTTTTAAGGCTGAGTAATATTCCATTGTACGGATAGACCACATGTGTTTATCCATTCATCTAGCAATGGACACTTGGGTTGCTTCCACCTTTTGGCTGTTGTGAATAATGCTGCTTGAACATGGCCCCCTTTCCTTATTTTAAAGATAGGCTGAATGATCCTCCAGTTAGACAGCACAGGTTGTGGAGTGGAGGGGTCTCCACCCCTTACTGGTTGAGTGGCGTTAGACCGTTTTCTCCACCCCGCTAAGCCCTGGTTTCCTCATGTGCGCTGTGGAAATGATAAGAAGCCATCTCACAGAGTGGTCAAGAGGATGGGATGAGAGAATGGATATGAAATAGTTATTGCAGTGCCCAGCACAGAACAAGTATTCAATACATCTTACTCAGATATTCATTCAACAAACATGCAGTGTCTGTCCTGCTGAGGCTTACATTTGCACCCCTCACCTAGCCAGTCTCACCTACCCTGAGTGGTAGACCAAGGTGGGGAGAGGGCCATGGGATGGCCCACCTGGGTGCAAGTACACCTGGGGTGCATTGTCTGCAGTGCATTTAAAAACAGCAATTAACCTCATTAAAGCTGAAACTGATGAGAAGTTGTTCTGCTTTGTAGCATCATTGGGACCTGGCAATTCTAAACAGCGTCAGTGATGAAATACTCCTTCCCCAGGGACAGATGCTCCCCATAGCCCCCACCCTTTGGGGGCCCCTCATACTCCATGTGAAGTCCTCACCTGAGCTGAGTCGTGTCCATATTCTTGGTTCCTTTCTCTTATATTTCTTTTTAAATATGCTACGTACCTGTTAGAAAAATTGGCACCATAAGAATTCTATTTTGCTTTATTGTTGCTGTTAGTACTGTCTGATTGGCATTTCAAAATTAATAGACTTTATGTTTTAGAGCAGTTTTAGATTTACAGAAAAATTCAGCAGATTTCTTTTCAGTAGAGCGTTTCCACTCCCCACCCCCCAGTTTCCCCAATTATTAACATCTTATATTAGTATAGTACATTTGTTACAAATAATAAACCAATATTGATACATTATTGTTAACTAAAGTCTATGGTTTATTCATATTTCCTCAGTTTTTGCCCAATGTCCTTTATCTATCCCAGGATCCCACCCGGGACACCATATTACATTTAGTCGTCGTGTCTCCTTAGGCTCCTCTTAGCTGTGACAGCTTCTCAGACGTTCTTGTTTTTGTTGACCTTGACAGATTTGAGGAGGATTGGTCAGGCATTTAGTAGAAAGTCCCTCTTTGGGGATTTGTGGCTTTATTTTTTTTGAGTTATTTACTGGAAACTTACTATAGGTTAGTCATTGTGTGAGGCTTTAAAGGGGGATGTAGCAGTGAACCGAGACGCTTTATAAACAGCATTTATACATCAGTGACACTGACGTGGTTTCCATTGAGTGTGTGGGTGGAGGGGGGGCATCGACTGTGGAGCGCTCTCAGTCTTTGGCTGGGTTAGGTCGGCCTCTGGCCCCCTTCAGAGACCTTCCCCCTACCCTGGGCTAATATGGCTCCTTTGTTTGGCCACAGAATGTCCTGAAGGAGCACGCGGAAGACGACCCCAGTCTGGCCATCACTGGGGTCCCCGTAGTCACTTGGCCAAAGAAGACTCCAAAGGTAAGACGCAGATTGCCGCCGCTGGGAGACGGTGCCCCTGCCTTTTCCCTCTCCTGTAAGGTGAACGTTGGCATCTTTTCAGGGGGGACCCCTGGGAGAGGGCACCCCAGTTAAGAGGAATGGTTTTGGTGATTCGTTCCTTGCCAGTTTTTGTTTTTTAAAAGGGACCATTTTCCGTGGCTGTGGAAACTGCAGGCAGTGCCCCCTGGTGGTCCCTCAGAAAACTGGGGAAGTGATGTTTCACCTTCCATCTTTAGGGGAATTTTCTTTGTCTCCTCTCCTCTCCCCTTGCTTCTTTCTTTCCTTCCTTCCCTTTTTCCTCCAGCTGCTTCATGGGCTGTTTCCCTCTCTTTGAAAGTAGCCTTTTTCTCTTTGTAAAACGGATTGATGCTCACCATGAGAGTCTCATCAAACACTGGGAAGACGAGTAGTGACGTCACTGCGCGCGTATCAGGAGCAGGTTACTTTGCCCAGTCCTCTGCATTCTTTATCTTATTTAGACTCCAGCGACCCGGTGGGGTAGACACTCGTGACCCGTTTTCCAGATGTGGAAACTGAGGCTTAAAAAGGCGAAGTCAGTTGTTAGGGTACTTGGCAGAGCCAGGGATGCGAAGATGGGTCTATTTGACAGCGAACTTGCAACCAGTGCTTGCCTCAAAGTCCAGCATCCAGAGAAGACCAGTAACATTTTGGCGTGTTTCCTTCCAAAGACAGTGCTAGAGTGGGATATGTATATATTAACCCATTTAGTAACCATCTATCTATCTACACGTGGCTTCACCACTTTCTTGAGCAAGTTATATAAGTTCCCTGAGCCTTACTTCCTCATTTGTAGATAGGGTTATACCAGTACCTACTCCGAATGGTGGTTGTGAGGACTAAAGGAGATAAGCCATTGTTGAATTTATCTCTTGAATAAACTTGTTTCTGGTTTACTGTAATAAGAAATGAAATAATGCCTGCAAAGTCCTTAGGACCAGGACTGACCCGTGGTTAGCGCTCTCTAAATGTTGGTTGTGACTTAAGCAGCCTCCTCGTGGATGGGTATTTTGTTAATTTCTGATTTTTTTTTGCTGTTATAAAAACACTCAGAGGAACATTCTAGATCTGTGCTGTCCAAAATGGTAGCCACTAGCTGTATGTGGCTATTGAGCTCTTGAAATGTGGTGAGTCCAAATTGAGATATTTAGTATAAATATTGCCTAGGATATACTCACGCTAAAAAAGATTATTTGTTGTTCATCTGAAATGTAATTGAGTGAACTGTATTTTTGTTTACTCAATCTGGTGACTCTAGTTGAAATGATAATATTTTGGATATATTGGTTAAATAAAATAGATTTTTAAGATTAATTTCACCTGTTTCTTTTTACCTTTTTAAACGTGGCTACAAAAAATTTGTAAGCGCATAGGTGGCTCACATTATATTTCTCTTGGACAGTGCTGTTCTAGGTTATTCTTTTCACCTTTGTTCGATTATCTCCTTAGAGTATGTTCCTAGACGTGGGATTGCTGGGCAGAAGGGCACCCATTACTTGCAGGTATTGAATTCTAATTCTCTTTGAAGCTTAGTGGGAATTCAGGTGGCAATAGAAATGAAAAAGATATTGCCTCCATATCTTCTGCCCTTCGTTCTCCAATCTGTGGAGGTGTGCGGAATTTTAAAGTTGACTTACCCCTTACGTGGGCACTAAATATAAATGCCATTTATCAGACCACAGACTGTACCTGCAGACATAGCACCTTGAAACAACCCAGCCAGGCCCCCAGCTGCTCTGAATCTGAAGAGGGAACCGTGGCTTTGCCTCACCGCCCGCTTCCCCCCTGGCTGAGGAATTGCTCCAGGGAGGGATTAGGGTTCACAGAACATGGGCTTTTAAAAAACAAACGCACCACTATGCACTATTATCTCGGAGTTAATGGAGGGGTCCAAATGAGCCTTTCTGGGAGAAATCACTTCAGGACTGCAAATGTGTCCTGTCTTCCGTGCCTGAGACCCTCAGCCCACTCGTAAGGGGCTTAAAGGCACTTTTTAAAAAAAAAAAAATCAAACCTCTGCCCTCTTTCCTCCAAAGGCCTAGAAACAGGGAGCTGGCTTCTAAGGGGGCAGTAGCCCCTGTCTAAGTAAGATTCCTGTGGAGGACGGTCTGTAAGCACTGTGCACAGGTTTGGCATGGCTGGTATCATCAGCACCGGCGGGAGACACTGAAACTCCTACAGTGGTTGGGAAAGAGTGGGTAGGAAGGAGAAGAAAGGACTTTCAACGCTTAACAACACTTAGGGAGTACCAGCCTTTTTTTTTTTTTAACACCTTGTAATAAAACAAATACAATTTGCATACCATAGAGTTCTCCCACTTAAAGTACACAATTAAATGTTTTTAGTATGTTGAAAATATTCAAAGAATTGTGTAACCATCACCACAATCTAATTTTAGGACATTTTCAGACCCCCTAAAAGAAACCCCATCACCAGTCAGTCCCCCCTCCCCCCAATCTTTCCCTGCTCCCCCCAGCCCCTGGCAACCACTAATCTGCTTTCTGTCTCTATGGATTTGCCTATTCTGGACATTTTGTATAAGTGGAATCATGTGGTATATGACCTTTTATGATTGGCTTTTCACTTAGCATAATGTTTTTAAGCTTCATTCAAGTCGTAGCATCTATAGGTCCTTCTGCCAATCCTCTGCCAATCCTCCTCTTTTCGCTGAGGAAGACTGGCCCTGAGCTAACAACCGTGCCCATCGTCCTCTACTTTATATGTGGGACGCCTACCACAGCATGGCTTGCCAAGCGGTGCCATGTGCACACCTGGGATCCCAACTGGCGAACCCTGGGCTGCAGAACTGGAATGTGCAAACTTAACCACTGCACCACTGGGCTGGCCCCCTTCATTCCTTTTTCTGGCTGAATAATATTCCCTTGTGTGGATATACCACATTCTGTTTATCCATTCGTCTGTTGATGGACACTTGGGCTGTTTCTGTCTTCTGGCTGTTGTGAATAATGCTGCTGTGAACATTCGTATACAGGTTTTTATGTGAACATGTGTATTCATTTCTCTTGGGTAGAGCCTAGGAGAGGAGTTGACTGGTCAGATGCTAACTCTGTGTTTAGCTTTGGGAGGAGCTGCTGACTGTTTCCACAGTGGCTGCAGCATTTTCCATTCCCACCAGCAGGTTCCAGTTTCTCCATGTCTTCACCAACATTTATTACCTGTCTTTTTGATTAGAGCTGTGGCAGCGCAGTCTTCTTCTTTTTGGTTTAGTTTATGTTTTCTATAACTTATTTTAAGTTTGCTGTATTAGTTTATAAGGGCTGCCTAACAAAGTGCCACAGACGGGTTGGCTTCAGCGACATGACAGAGATTAATCTTCTCACCATCCTGGAGGCCAGAAGTGTGAGATCGAGGTGTCAGTTGGCAGGGCATGTTTCTTCTTAGGACTCTCTCCTCGGCTTGTAGACGGCTGTTGTGTCTCTCTGTCCTTTCGTGGTCTTCCCTTTGTGTGTGCCTGTCCTAATCTCTTCTTATAAGGACACCAGTCACACTGAATTAGGGCCCACCCCAACGACCCCATTTTACTTTGGTTACCTCTTGAAAGATCCTATCTTTGAATATAGTCACAATCTGAGGTCCTGGGGGGTTGGGACTTTAACGTGAATTTTGGGGGGACACAATTCAGCCCACAATATTTATTATAAATTATCTCAGAACTACAAAAAGGTATAAATAATAATAATGAACACCATGGCCCCCTACTCAGCTCTAGAAATAAGTTATTGCCAGTACAGCCAAACCCCTGGGTATTTTTCCTCAGTGGATGTGCCAGTTTTTAGATGCAGTTTTTAGATCTTATTTAATCCTTACAAAGAGGCCAGGAGGTGGAGCGTATTATCTCCATGGTGCAGTTGACACTGGGGGCTCAGAGAGATACACTGGTACACCTTGGGCCACACAGCTTGTGAATAGCAAGGCGTTCATCCCCAGATCTGTCCCTGTGCTGAGAGGAACTCAATGAAGTGTGGCAGAGGGAAGGGGGAGGGGAGGCCCGCCACTATATTTATGCATTTCCTGGCTGGTGGGGTTAAAAAGTTAACAGGAGAGGAAGAAGTAAGTAAACGACTGACTGCCTGGGCCACCCGGGGTCTCTCGATTCCCAGGTTTGCAGTCGGCTTCCTCCCAATTTGATGCAGGCTGGGTTGAAAGATCAAGGGTGCTCATTGAGGCTGTCAGGATGCGAGGTAGGGAGCGGTATTCGGTCTGGGTCAGGTTACTTAACAAGTAATTAATGCTAAATGATGATTAGCAAGAAATGCTTTGATCTCCCACCTTGCCTCCTGGAGAACAAAGTCCTTTTCTGGAACTGATTAGGTGCTGTGAGGTCATTTCTGATGTGGTGTCTTTCAAATCAGAGATGCTACTGAATCACCATCCGTCACCATTCACCCCAATTGGCTGTTTCCACCAGTGGTGATGGATTTGTTTTGACCCGTCTACACTCTGGCCGCTTCCTTTTATGACCAGGTGGCAGGATTTAGGGGCCTGTCTGTGACCTTAGAACCAAGCCAAGGAACTGAGCTTTTGAGGCCTGATCTCTGACCTCAGCCTTATTAGCAAGTTGACCTTCAGCTCACCAGCCAGACACTTCTACCCGGCCTGCCTGCTGGTTCATTCACAGAAAAGGAAACTGAGGAAGGAGGGGAGACTGAGCCGAGGTTGCCTCTGGAAAGCAAGCCTGTTGATGAATCCTGCTTCTTAATCCGTTATGTCTAGTGGCCAAACTAGGCCACCACTTGAATTTCAATTATTGGCGCTTTTTTTTGGTGAGGAAGATTGTTGCTGAGCTAACATCTGTGCCAGTCTTCCTCCATTTTGCATGTGGGACGCCACCACAGCATGGCTTGACGAGCAGTGTTTAGGTCCGCACCCAGGATCTAAACCCGCGAACCCTGGGCTGCTGAAGCAGAGCACACGGACTTAACCACTACACCACCGGGCTG